TGTTCTTGTCATGTGCAGCAACCTTCGCTCCACAATAAAGTGAACCACCATTTCTTTTGACTAAAAGCACAAATCTAAAAAGGTGCTATTAGGACCACAAAAGAGAGTTTGGAAAATCATAAAGATCTTCGTGCAAGAGTGTGCCAAAGAAAAAGAAATAAAGCAAGATTTGTTTGGGATATAAGTGATTTTAATGAAGACATGAAACGAAGGATCCCGGGCACGAATCTCTTCCTTCAAAGTCAAGAGAGACTTAGAAGTGTCTGTGTGGTTTCCTGTTGAAATACGATCAAATCTATGTTAAGAAATGTTGAAAGGGTTTTTTATTTCAAATATAGTATTTAACGGGTGGTTAATCTTCATCTGAACTTCGATACTTATGATAAGACCGAAAGTAGGACGAAGTACTTGTGAGACCGATGTGGTCTGTTGAACAAGAAGGTTTGATAAAATATGTAGTGACTGGGTGATTATGAGAAATCTCCAAAACAAAAACGAAACTGGATCTTATGGGAAGAAACATCTTGGTTTTAGACAATTTCATAAAGACCATGCAAAAATAAAAGGAGATTTCTTCGAGGTAACAAGTACTAGCTAAAACATTTAAGCATTCACTGTCAATTCATATAAGGTGTTGAATTTTGGGTCTCACTTAGCACGTGGTGAACTTATCTAAGATCATCAACACAGATGTTGTGTAACTATAAACTTCAGTGGTAATTGCTGAGAGTCTCAAGGGTTACGATTGTGGAGCGAAAGTAGATGGAGAAGTGTGATAAGGTGGTTAAGGAACCGAAAGTACCTCTGCTATTTAAGAATGACAAAGCAGAAAACTCTTAACTCAATGTGAGAAGAGTAAGGTAGCTCATGACTAGAGTGAATGTAGTAGCCTAATTGAGAAGAAACGATGTGTGTTGATCGAATCATTAAGGCTTCACCCCGAGTCTTGGAGGCTTCGGTCGACATACAACAACATGCTTCTAGGACACTTAACTAGTACAAATATATATATATATATATATATATATATATATATATATATATATATACACACACACACACACACACACACACATACATACCTGCCCTAGCTCGAAATTATGTAATAACTGTGATCTTCAAACCTAAGGAAGAAAAGAAACAAAAACAAAGCGAAGCACAAAAAGAAAATATTTTGAAGTTTTGGATTTTTCTGAAAAAGAATAAAAACAAAAAATAAAATACTTTTGGAGTTTGGAAATTTCTGAAAAATAATAAAAATAGAAAATAAAATATTTTTGGATTTTTGAAATTTCTGAAAAATAATAAAAAGAAAAAATAAAATATTTTTGGAGTTTTAAAACTAAGACAAAAACGAAAGAACAACAAGAGAGAAGATATACAAAAATATACAACCGAAACCAAACGTTTGAAAATATGAAGCGAAATGGGCCGAGCGCTTGGTTCATTTCGGTCCTCGAAAATCCCGGAACTGAAATAGACCGAGCGTTCGATTCATTTTGGTTCCCAAAAATCCCGGAACCGAAATACACCGAGCTTACGCTCTATTTCGCTTTTCTAATTTTAATGAAAGGAAAGTGGTTTCGGTACTGAGTCAACTTCCATCATTCCGAATCCCTGTAGAATTTTATTAAAGCTTACTTCTAGTAAGGCCTTAGTAAAGATGTCAGCCAGTTGATCTGAGGACCGAACAAAGTGAACTTCAACATTACCATCTTCAACATGGTCCTTAATGAAGTGGTTTCTCAGTGAAACACGTTTAGCCTAGGAGTGTTGCACAAGAATGTAACATATTTGAATTGCACTTTCAGAGTCACAGTAGATGGGAATGTTCTTCATGCTTAATCCATAATCCCTAAGTTGGCTTTGTATCCATATGACTTGTGATGTACAGGATGCTACAGCAATGTACTCAGCTTCAGCTATGGAAAGAGACACACATGTTTCTTTCTTAGATTGCCAGCTGATGAGTTTATCATCAAGGAATTGGCACCCGCCGGTTGTGCTCTTTCGGTCTAGACCACATCCACCAAGATCAGCGTCAAAGAAGGCTTGAACAAAGATTCCAGATTTAGCAGGATACCAGAGACTGAGAGACGAGGTTCACTTCAAGTACCGAAAGATATTTTTCACTACAACCATATGAGGTTCTCTTGGATTCGCTTAAAACCTTACACAATAACAGACAAAAAACATTATGTCTGGTCTATTAGCCGTTAGATACATAAGAAACCCTATCATTTGACGATAGAGTGTCACATCAACAGCTGGTTTATCCAGAGACCGTGTTAACTTCGTGCTAAAAGCCATTGGAACCTTCACTTTGGAATCTCCCGTCATGCCGAACTTGGCCAACAAGGTCTTCATGTACGACTCCTGATTAATAAAGATGCCTTCTGGTCCCTGTCTAATATTTCAGTCCAAGGAAAAAGTTAATAGGAACCGTTGAGCTCATTTCAAACTTAGTCTTCTTCAACTTCCTGAATTTCGAGATTTTGAGAAAGCATGTTAGAGTTTCATACTAGGCTCTCAGGGCTTGCTTCAAACCATAGACTATTTTATCCAGAATGTAGCAATGATCAGGATAATTTTCATCCACAAATCCAGGTGGTTGCTCTACGTATACTGTTTCTTCTAGTTCTTTGTTTAAGATAGCACATTTTAAATCCATTTGGAAAACTTCAAAGTTTTTATATGCAACATATGCCAGAAATATTCTTACTGATTCCAACCTTGCTACAGGAGCGAAGGTTTCTTCATAATCTATTCCTTCTTCGTGACAATATCCTTTTACCACCAGCCTTGCATTGTTGCGAATAACATTACCCTATTTATCTAACTTAATCCTGAAAACCCATTTTAAATCGACTACACATGCATCCTTTAGTGTGGGAATCCGCCTCCATACACGATTTTGTTCAAACTCATGGAGTTCGTCTTGCATAGCTTGCACCCAATCTAAGTGATCAAGAGCACCATTTACCGTCTTTGGTTCAATCTTAGAGACGAACGAATTAAACATGAAAAATTATACTTGAGAGAATAAACACTACAAGAAAAAGACCCTTTTACGACGCGCAAACCACGACGCTCATTGATTAATGTTACGCAAAAGAGAGTGACATTAAAAAAGTGTCATCTCATCAAAAAATTTAAGGATTTATGTCACGTATTATTGCGCGCCCTTAAATTAGTGCCTAATGTAAAAAAATTAAAAACACGGAGGGCACTTTATCTAAAATGTGCGTTCTCTATCAGTGTCGCTTTATGTTTTTCTCAAAAGGTGCGTTTCTTAAAAGTGGGAAATGAAATTCTCTTAAAATTCTAAAATTTTTAAATACCCCGCTTCAGATATCCCTTCGTTCTCTTCTTCCCTTCTCTATGCAAACCTAATCACGATACCTTCTATACACCTCGAAAACTCATATAACCATTCTAAAATTTTTTTCTTAAAAACTCGCGTTCATTTCTAAAGATCACAAAATGGCGACCAACAACTATACGTTTATTGTTAGCCCAATACTTTTGTGTGTTTTTTGACGGTAACTGCAAGGTTCAAGGCAGGAACTTCAATCGACTTGGTGTGGGTTAGCTCGACACCCTTGATTCATCCGATTGTGCCGCATAAGTAAAGTATCCCCGCCCTATCGGACTGCTATACATCTCCGCTTCAAGATATCCTATCTCAATGAAAGCGATTCAGGCCTCACTCCTCTCTCATAGTGATTTAGGGTTTTTTGGTACAAGTTATTGACTAAGACACCGACTTACTGTTTTTTTCATAAAAGATGTGTATGTGCACTTACGTTGGTTCTAGCTCCCACGACTTCTCTCAGGTATATATTTTTTTTATTTCAATGACTTCACAATGATGCAACGCTACAAAGGAGTAGCATTTGGGGAGCTAGATCGTCATGTTTTTTCAATTGCAGATTCTGATTTTAGGTCATCTCTTCTCCTCACCTCTTCTTTTTCTTTTCTATTCTACTTCTACATATATACTTCTCGTACAGAGGATTAACATTCTTCCATTCTTAAATATTTATAAAATCGGTATTATTTGAAGTTTAGTGATTATGGTCTAGTTAGTACTTCATATTTTCTACTTGGCACATGTATTTGTTTCCTTACCCTTTTTCATGTTAATTTAGACTAATCTCTGCCTATTTCATCTTTGTAGAGTGATTAATGATAAGGCTAGGCTGATAAAATGTGTGAATTATTCTTATAAGCGCTTCAAACCCTAATAGATGAGTTCAGCCCGATTTATTTCTCACATACATATAGAAGCTGATTTTGAAAAGTTCATGTGATTTGAGAAAGAAGAACATAAATATGTGGGTCCTCGGCTATTGGATATATATTTGGCAAATGATGATTTTCTCTTGCCTCTTCTTCCATTACAATCCACCTGGTAGCAAATTGTACCACCAAAAAGAGGCATCAGGTTCTTCTCTCCACCAAAAAGAAAAATTTGAACCATTGACACCATGATTCACCTTCCATCTATGAATATGCGTGTTTGTGTGTATGAGAGAGAGAGAGAGAGAAAAAAAAAAGGAATGAGAAGAGAAGAGAAATGTTTTAGGTACTCTACAAAGTTGTCCTATCTGAAACCTACCCTACATCTCTCATAATTTTCTTCATTTCATTATTGCCGATATTATTTATCATGGTGAGTGAATTGTCAGTTGTGCCCCCCTTTTCACAGGGATTTACGCATGAAAATTCCCAGTCATGGCTACAGGACAAGACCCCTTATCTGTTAAAAGACACCATTGTCCAAATACAGTTCATTTATATATTTATTGTATGGATAATAATATATATATATATATATATATATATGTCTATGTGTCTATTTATTTTTCGAAGAATTAACGGTAATTGTTTTTGTCAGTTAAGCATGAGGTCGGTGATCTTCAAAAACTTGAGGCAACTTCTTAGATGTTTTAGCATTGCATCGGGGTTAAAAGTTAATTTCAATAAGTTCATCCGATATGGTAACCACGGCCTTGGCTGTGGTTTCCTTCCACCTTAGCAAGCACAAAGCACCACTACATATGGTACCTGCAGAGTGCTCTCTGTTAATACCTTAAACCTATTTGAGATGGTTAGTCTCCACATAAATTAGATTGAGAAAACAGAATAAAGTTGGAGCAATTTTCGATGATCTATTCCTAAAGCAAAGTAAAATTTTATAAACTCTTTCTCCAATCAATATAGCAGAGTTCGTTATTATGCTTGTGAAGCTTTATACAACATCGCATAGGTTAGAATTAGTTGTGAGTTCATCAGATGGTGTATAATATGTAAACAGTACATTTAGGGCTTACTTTATGCCTTTTGCAGGTTATGAGAGGAGACTTCATTGTGTTCTTCAATAAGATATTTGGTGCTTTATGTAAGCTTTCAGCAGACTCAGATCCCAATGTACAAAGTGTAGCTCGTCTGTTAGATAAACTCGTTAAGGTAAGTAAATGACTCATCTTATTATTTGTTATATTTGTTCTAATGCAGAATCACAGTTCTTCTTATTGTTGAAAACAGAACATTATGGCAGAGTCTGACTAATTCAGGTGATCATCTTTCATTTTTTGGTATAAATTTGATAGGGTTACTAATGTAAAATGTATTGAACTTGGGATCCTGAATAATTTTTATCTTTTATCAGCATTGAAGAATTTATATCTTTGTTGAAAGAGCATATGAATGTGTTGAATCCTTATGTTCGCCAATTTTTGGTTGGATGGATCAATGTGTTGGACAGTGTTCCAGAGATAGACATACTCAGTTTTCTTCCTGATTTTCTTGATGGTAAATGATCTCACTTCACAGTTAAAGGGTATTCCCGTCAATTTGCAAGTGTTTTTTTCGCACAACATTTTTGGATTCATCTAACATGTCACATGTGGAGATCTCAGGTTTATTTAATATGTTAAGTGATTCCAGCCATGAAATCCGGCAACAAGCTGACTTGGCACTTTTAGAGTATCTTCTAGAGATGAAGAACTCTCTGGTTCTCTGTAGCTAATGAACAAGGTAATGGAATCAGTCATTACATTACATTCCATGATCATGTTTAGTTGACATGTAATGAATTTTCATATTGTATGTAAAATACAACATATTGTTTTGACTCTACTCTTTATGTTATATAGTTATAATTAATGAACTTTTATTTACAAATTAAAAGTAAACATAATGATATTTTTTTAAAATTCAAATAAGATTATACTAAAAACTATATAAATTGTAATTCGATTAAACCTCATATTTTTTAGTAGCAAATTTTGTCATTTATTTGTAAATTTCTGACTTTAGGAGTGGTACTGATGAAGTCTGTAGATTACGGTCGCATGGCAGAAATACTTGTACAAAGAGCATCTTCCCCTGATGAATTCACCCATTGAACTGCAATCACATGGGTAAGTCTTTTTTTTTTTCCCCTTTTTTTAAATTTGGTTGCACATTGTAATGAGATTTTTTTGAGAATTCCTGCAATTTTTTATTAAATTTATGCAGATAAACGAGTTTGGAAAACTTGGGGTGATCAATTGACAAGCACCTTTAAGACAACACATGGTGATATAGTGATGGAAGAAAATGCACATGGTGATGATGTAAATCAAAGTAATGAAAAAGATGCAGATGCTTTAGAGGATGGAAATGAACTTGTAAGTATCTAATCTACTGGTTTCTTGATCCATGTAACTTTTTATTCAAACTTTTTACTAATTCTTTTGGAGTTGATTGTAGGTAGGAGTTGTCTCTGATGAGAATTTATTGGAACTTCTGGAGTTAGCAATGTCATCAAACACAACTAAAATTGTGAAAAGAGCCAGAGAACTGATGGAATTGGTAGTTTACCCTATGGTACTCATGTCTCAAATGGCCACACTTATTATGGACATTATTGCTGGAACATAAGGTAATAAAAAAGATAATTTATTTTAATGTATTTTAAATCAAATTATCAGATCATATATAAACTACCCAAACAATATTCTAGTTTTATTTTATCGCCTCAGTTTTGCAGAGGAGCCTTGTGTTTACATTAGAAGAAGGCCCTAGGGTCTTATTCAATGCTTTAGCAGTGTTTGCTCTAAGGGAGATCAACTTATCAAAAGTAAGTTATTTTTTTACCCTTTTATTTAATATTTTTGTGATTAAATGAAAGTCTTAATGAAAGTAATTAGCATCCCTTTTTTTTGTAAATGATGTTGTGATTGTGGGAGAGGTGTTGTTTTTTTCTCTGTTGCTAGGTAACCTTTTCAACAACAGCATTCTACTTAAGCAGGTGAGTAATCAAGATTAAGGGAGACTTGTAATCATGTTTGGCATTCCTTTCCAGTACACATTAAGCAGGTGGTACGCACACAAGGCGTTGGCAAAAACAAATAACATGAAATGTTTCTGGTATGAAACAGAGTTGTATGATTATTTCTTAGTTTTATAGGAATGTATAACCCATGTTAGCAATGTATTATTTTTTTTAACATTTGAATGATTTTTTGTATGACATTATAATTTGTGCAATTTATTTTATTTTTTGAGTATGAAATTTTACTTTATATTATGCAATGGATTGTATTTTTTGTATATGGTATTTTATTTATATTATGAGAAATTAAAGGAAAATTTAATTTAAATATTAATAAATATATAATTTTTTTTAAACATTTAAATTTATGACATGGCCTTTCTTGACAGGGGCATTCTTGATACGCATTGCGTGTCATTAACACGCGCGTCGTAAGGTTATGACACGCAAATGATGTCGTCTTCCTTTATGACAGGACCTTTCTTGATACCAATTGCGTGTCGTAAACGCGCGTCGTAATTGCGCGTCGTAAATGAGCGTCGTAAATGCCCGTCGTCTCTCTTTATGACAGGGCCTTCCTTGACGCGCATTTGCGCGTCGTCTGATCCCTTTATGACGCACAATGAGCGTCATAAAAGGCTATTTTTCTATTAGTGGAAGCAGTTTTCTTCGCTTTTAATTGAGAGCGAGTGAGAACTCCCTCAGATGATTAACCAATTATTTGAGTTTTAGGATGATCTTTTGTCCATTTTGTGAGAGGTGGCTAATTTGGATCGTACGCAGGATCCAATCCAGCGTTAATTTCTTCTTCAAGTTCTGATTGATCGCCTTCGTCATTTGTATTTTCATCATCCCCCTCAAATGGCGAAGCGTATCCTATGTCATGTTTAGAACGCTCCCCTTGGTTGGACTTTCATGTGTTGAGGTTTGTGATGGATTCTCCCCCTAGAAAGGTAACTCGGTTGATTTTGGTGCGGACAAGCCCTCCCCCTGGAATATAGAGCTTTCTTTTGGAGGGTTAGTTGAAGCTGGACTTTTGCTTGATTCGATAGGTACGCTTGGAGTCTGCTTCTCGACTTGAGGTTCTCTTTCCATGTCTTTTGCAGCTTCGTCGATAATCTTCTTCAAGTTGTCGATTTTATTATCTGCTGCTTTCGCTTCCGAGTAAATTTCCTTCTCTAGTTCATCAAAGAGTGGCATGTACTCCTCAAATAGATTGGAAATAGGAACCGAGACTTGACCTGATTCTGGAAAGATTTCCTCTGTTGGGCTTTCGCTTGTTCGAATCTTCTTCAAGTAATTATCGTCAAAAGTAACATAGTAGGTTTCTTCAATCTTGTTTGAGCGTTTATTCAAAACCCTATATGCCTTTGAAGTAAGCGAGTAACCAAGGAAGATCCCTTCGTCGGCCTTTACATCGTACTTGTTTCAGTTCTCTTTCGAGTTGAAAATGAAACATCTTGAACCGAACACATGGAAAAACTTCACATTAGGCTTGCAATTATTTAAAATCTCGTATGGTGTGATGGAGAATTGCTTGTTGAGGAAGGATCAGTTCTGAGTGTAACACGCAGCAGCGATTGCATCAGCCTAGAAGTACAGTGGAAGTGAAGCGAAGCTCAACATGGTTCGGGCTGCTTCACATAATGAACGGTTTCGCCTTTCAATGTTCCTATTCTGTTGTTGAGTATAGGGAGCAGATAAATTGTGAGCTACTCCCTTTTCAGCCAGAAAGTTTTCAAAATCTTTGTTTTTGAACTCGAGCCCATTATCGCTTCTTATGTTTCTTACCACCTTTCACAGTTGCAACTCTACTTGTTTGATAAAAAGTTTCAGCATGGGAGTGTCTTCTGATTTCTATTTAAGAAAGAAAAACCATGTGAAGTGTGAAAAATAATCTACAATAACAAATATAAACTTACTGTCACTGATGCTTTCAATAGCCGAAGGGCAACATAAGTTAATATGTAGATGTTCAAGAGGTTCAATGATCTTTGTATTGATACAAGTAGGATGTATCTTTCAACTTTGCTTTCCCATTTCGCATGCTGCGCACAAGTGTTCCTTATCAAAATTGAGAATGAAAAGTCCTTGCACATGATCTCCAAGCACTAGCTTACTAATATCTTTGAAGTTCAGGTGCGAGAGCCTTCGGTGCCACAACCAACTTTCATCTGAGTTCGCCTTTGTCAGCAAACATATAGAGGGTTTTCCTCGTATTGGGTTGAGATTTAGAGGATACATCTCTCCTTTGCATTTAGACTTCAATAGAACTTTCTTTGATTTGTTTTCGATTATCTCAAAACCTTCATCATCTAATGAAACCTTCAAGCCAGTTCCCATAACTAGTTGAGAGACACTTATGAGATTGTGCTACAATCCTTCCACGTATGCCACCTTTCATATAGAAAATTCTCCGTTTGTAATCATTCCACACCCTTTGATCATGCCATATGAATTATTCCCATATTTAATACATCCACCATCCTTAAAGGACTGAAACTCCCTTAACTCTTCCCTCCTTCCTGTGATGTGATGAGAGCAGCCACTATCAATATACCATTCGTCATCTAACTTCTCATCACTAATAACCTGCAAAATTAAGCATATTTAGGAACCCAAAGTTTCTTGGGCCATCGTGAGTCGTTTAAAGAATAGGGAATTGTGACGAAGCATCAACCATATATGTTCTTTTTATGAAAGTGGTTTCATCTCTTTGTTTGATGGTATAGACTTTGATTTTATTTTTATCTTGTTTTGGTTGTTGTGAATCTGATGGTTTATTTTTAGTTGGAATCTTAGTGGAAATTTTCTTTTGTATCCTAGGGTTAGCTGATGTTTTCTTATTATGGGCTTCATTATCTGAGACGAGCTTTCCATTTCCTGTAATATCCTTTAGCGGGTGTTGCTTTGGTTGAGAGTGAAGAGGATGGGATTTAGGACCGAAACTGGACTTTCGGTTCTGAGCATTGATAAAGTTGGGACCGAAATTGCCTTTTTTGTTTCGGCTCATCCGACTGCATGACTGGTAGTGATTGAAAGATGGAGACGGAGCTCTTAATATCCCTTTTATCTTAGGATTGGTCTCCTTTTGAGAGTGAACATAATTAGGGTTTTGAGACTGCCGAAACTATTTGCTCTCATTGAGGTTCTTCATGTATCTCTTGGTCCCTCATCTCTTATATTCAGCGAGTCGCTCTTGAGACTTGAAGATATTCACTCTTGGTTTCGGTTTCTCTTCTCGAGCTTCAGTTGTGGTTGAAGATACACTGGATGCTTTCATTGGTTCGTTTGCTTTTGTACCACTTGAACTTGGTTTATCGAAACTTGAAGGATTATTGATGGGTTCAGCCACGTATCTTCCTTTGACCCTCCATGAGGTTCGTTCCGATAGACCAACCATTTCATCTACATTGTCAATAGGAGCACACCAGAAGTAGTTTTCACATCCTTCAACATTGTCTTTATTAACCAAGGATACCAATTCTACCGTTTGTTTCTTAGTTACCCCTTCAATGGCATACACTTAGTTCGACACTGTTTTTACCATTTGATAAACAACCGCCTTTTCTTTGAGGACCTTGGACTTGTCCTTGGATATGCGAGCAAACTCAACAAAAATTTTAGAAATGAGTGGTTTCGCTGACTCAGGTTCGCTCTTAAGAAATTCTGAACAATCGACCTCATCTTCTACTGAGATTTCGCTCATCTCACTGTCATCATCAAATTCAGAAGTGGTTTCTATATGTATTTTATGTTTGAACTTAATTTGGCATTTGATGAGTCAAACTTTTGTATGGTCTCGGTCTTGATTTTTAATTTATCATTTTCGTCCTGAAGATTCTTAAGCATGCATTTGTGTTCTTTGGATTCAATAAAGGCCTCAAATTTGTCCAGTCCATATTTGTAGATTTCTGAAACCTCATCCGAAGACACAATAGATTCACATTCAGCAACGACTTTGTCTTCCTTAAATTCAAGGAAAGGCAAAATCATTTTATGAATCTTTTTACCAATCTCACAATTTAAATGAAATTGAGTGATATTTGAATATAAACATTTAGTAATCAAACAAAAAACATTCCTTTGTTTTATAAACTTGAATTTTTCACGTTGCAAATAAATAAGTTCATCCCTATCCCTAACTAACTCTGACTCCTTCAGCTCTATCAACATCCTTCTCTCCTCACTCTTGGAAGTTACCCTGCTGAATTGATCAGTTAGGTTAGAGTTCGCTAAGCGAGTTTGCATTTGATAGCTGCTTAAGTTAGAAAACTTGAATTTTAATTCGTTTAATTCTTTTTCATAGTTTGTTACTGGTATTTTAAGTGATTCAAGGATAGATTGTACTTTCTTGATTAACTGATCGCAGTCATTGATCCTTTCACTCACAGGCTTTGCATCGAAACATCTGTCTTCTTTCAGGCTTGCTTCATCAAGTTCACATTTGGTTGTATAATCTCTCATACTTGAAACTCCAGCGGTCACCATCAAGCATTTTCTAGTTGAATCAGTAAGGTCTTCTTTCGCCACAAATGCTCTTCCATGCGTTGGTTTATGTACCTCTTCAACTTTACAGTTTGTAGACCAGACTTTGTAACATCCC